GGGACGAACATCGTGTCAAAGACAAGGTGAAACTATGGGAGTAATTTCAGTTTACACAGGACATCAGTTTACCATTGGCAGAGGTGAAAGTGATGAACTACATTTACACTTGTTACTGTAACATCACTGTCAGACATTTTACTTTTACTCAACTGACGCCATCTTTCTGTGAAAGAAACTCACTGGGATGAGACACTGTACCAATGTTGATCAATGTCATTTGAAGGTTGCAGGTTCTGGTTTCCCACTGAACAGGTTCAGGAGAAGAGTTTATTCTTTTGTGATTATTTATTCTTTTTGTGATGTTTAGCAGTGACTGTTGCAGTATGAGCTGCGGTGGTAAATGACAGATAAATGGCTGACAAGGATCTGAAGCACTGTAGCGATTTGGATCTATAAACAGTGTTTTGTGTATTTGGAGTGTATGAAAAGTGTTACTTTTGGTAAAAGGCAGACTTCTAGCAGATTTAAACATGTCAGCCTGCAGAGAACTGGTCAGATAGGTTATAAAGCTGGGTTTTTGCATCACCCAGCCAGTAGAAGTAAGCAGAGCAACCAGTAAATGCAGTTAACGGTGCAATACAAGGATTTCAAGGCAGACAGAATTTTACTCATGGGTTTGAAAATTAAATATTGTTAAAGTTCAACTGAAATGACATTTATCATCCCCTTTTGAGATGATGAGATCATGTTAGTGTGTTTTTTTAATGTATTGTTAATAGATTTTGATTGACAGCAGCTGGCTGTGCTGTAGCTACATATCATATAGCAGACAGCGTGTGGTTACTGGTAATGAAGGGATAGAACCACAGCTGGATCTGACCAGAGCTAATTGACATCTACAGGTACCGTATGTACGTTTACCTGCTGTTTAATGTGCTGCTAATTAATTCGCTGTGCAGCTAATTAGCTATCTATCCTGCAAACTGACAATATGGGGTCACTTTTCCCTGCTGAGTGTTTGTTTGGTGGTTGGTTCAACAAGCTAAGGTGCAAAACAAGATGCGTTTGTGTTTGTAAGTTTGATGAAGAGGATTTAGACTTTAGCAGAGAAGCTAATTGTTCTGTAGCTGCTGTTGTGTAGCAGCTACTGAGATACAATGCTGATGTCACTGCTTTAAGCAACATTTGATTATAATTGCCAAATTGGGGGGCAGGGGGTGCCATCATGAAACCAATAAATGCCATAAATATTGAACTATAAATTTCTCCCTTTTGGTTCCAGCTTTTTTCTTCTCAAAGGAGAAAACAGGTCAAGAGATTTACAGACATGTGTAGCTAGCAGACTTTAAAGGTACCATATTGTATAAAGTGCGATTTCCATGTCTTTTTTTTATTATAAAGCAGGTCCAGCTTCTATATTAATACTGTGAAAGTATTAAAGTGCTCGGTCCACAGAGAAATGCACACAGCCTGTATAAATGAGCTGTCAGGACTTCTGTAACTATGTGATGTCACAACAAAGTAGTCACTCCTCCCAGTAATGCTGAAAGCCCCGCCCACCTGGACCCACCATCCAGCCTTGGTTTCTCTGAGTGTTTACCTGAAATCTACAAAAAATTTTATCAATCACTCAGAAAACAGTCAACAGCCAATCAGAAGAGAAGCTCAGAACCTCCCTTCTGATTGGCTCACTGAACTGTTGCTAGAGCTCCAGAGAGAAGCCTGAGAGAGGAGATGTAAAACTACAGTACATTGAGATAGTTCTTGGTACTTAAAACCACAAATATATCTTCTTATGGATATCAAAAGATGGGACCTTTAAGTTCCTTTTCTGTCCCTGACCTCTGGAAATAATGATTTTCTTCTTGCTGTGGATGCCTCCGAACCTCCGTGTTTGGCAGATGGCCAGTGCGAGGGAACGGCGAAGGGCAAACAGATACACTCATTTCACGGACCTCCTCTCCCCTCTATGCAGTTATTCCACTCATGAACCAGCAACTTATCTCAATGTAGGAGATAACGATTTTTGTAATAGTACAAGAGGCAGGTGAGTGTGGCGAACACTGCAGTGTTATCTGTGCCGTGCGTTCAGGATCTGTAGATTTTAGTTTTATTGATGATATTCAATGAAATCCTCATGAAAAAAAAAACAAGCTGCTCAGGGATTGAGATAGAGCGGTTCATTTTCTGAAATCACCCATGCACTTCAGATATTCTCTCTCTTATTTTTTTTATTCCCAACAGTTTTTTTTTTCACTGCCCATTTTCTCCACAAAAGGAACCATGTTAAATCTCCATAAGAGCAAAGAAAAGGAAGAAAGAAAATGGAGACAAGACTCTTTTTTTTTTTTTTTTTTTCAGGCAAATCATGATATTCTACAAATCAAGAAGAGCACATTGATTTCATTGTTTCATTGTTCCGATGGACGTCCATGTGAAATAAATATTATAAATAAATATTTCTCAAGGCCATTCATGTGAAAATAGCTTTCTATGAGTAAGACACAATACCAAACTGCTTTTTCCTCAGGGAATATATATAAAAAATAAAATAAAAATAACCAAATGTTTTTTTTTATTTCATGTTGATACATTCTTGGACAACACCACAGAATAGTTGCATGAGTGGCCAAATGTAAATCTCTCCCACAACATTGGCACATAAGCAGCAAGGGCAACATGAATATACCTAGTACAAACAGTAAAAAACATACATGCTTCCTTTGTTTGTTTTTTTTTTTTTAAGTATTTTGTTTTTTTAAATATATATTCATCTTTTTCTCCATTTCCCATAGTTTCCAGGAAAATAAGAAACCAATCAAAGCCATATTCTGCTGTGTGAGAAAGTATCAGAGGAAGTTAATGGTAAAATAAAACAGAAAGTAAATAAAAAACAGTACAATTCAGAGCAGACAGGTGGAGTCAACTGTGTTGTGAGAATTTCATTATTTTAAAAGTTTTTTTTTCAGTTTCAACATCGAACATATCAGGCATGCATTGACAACCTCGACATCAACACCTTTTTTGTTGTATCAGCAAGTCCGTGAAAATCACCAGCACAAATCCAGCGACGACCCCCCCCCGCCCCCCCCCCCACCCGGACTGAAGCAGGTTCTCATTAAGTCAGCTAACAACACAGTTAAGGCTCATCATCATCATCATCATCATCATCATCATCATCATCATCATCATCATCATACACCTATGAAACACTGCAGAAGTCGTCATGTATGTGTGTGTATGTATGTGTGTGTGTGTGTGTGTGTGTGTGTGTGTGTGTGTGTGTGTGTGTGTGTGTGTGTGTGTGTGGAGAAGGTACACTCGTGTTGGATGGGAATGCTTTCATTGTGGGACCACAAACATTTCAAACAGTTCAAACAAAAAGGTCACGATTTTTTTTTTTTTTTTTTTCCAAGCTTTATGTTCACGGCCAGCTGAGGAATCTGGTTTTTCTACCATGTCGGGCGACTGATTTTTGGACTCACAAAACAACAACATCTATCCAACATAAACTCTGATGTTTTGCTCGCTGTCTCATCCCTTTTTGGACGACCATGATAAAAACTCACAGCCTTAACGTTTTTACAAGTGTCTGATAAAACAAGGTGACTTCAGATCTTATTCCCAGTCACAGACTCGAGAGATCCGCTTCATAGGCACCCTGGTCTTATGATCACATTCCTAATGTTGGATAGTTAAAGACCTAGAAAACTTCAGATCTCAAGTATCTCTCTACAGCAGAGGTTTTCAAACTGTGAGAGACGTGAGCGAGTGAGGTGAAAGGGACGGGTGCATGCAGGTGCTCTGAAACAGCAGTTATATGCTATTGGCAGTATCCTATTGTAGTTAGGATACTGATTTGACCGCTCTCCAACAACGCGGTTCAGCAGCAGAAGCTACAGCAGAGGCTGATGTGGCTCATGGAGGAGCTCAGTTGCCACAATTTGAATCACAATGATTGTAACTCAGTCAGATCTGACCACACAGCTGACGGCTGATGTCTCAATTTTGTCTTGTGTCTTTGAAAACCTCTCTACTAAATAAGCACACTGTAATTCAGGGCTGTAATCTAATCTGTTACCAATGATAGTTTGTTTCAGATGTAGAGGTGATTCAGAGGGTGTTTTTTTTATTTTTAAGGATGTCTGGATTTTTGTGCCACATGACATTTAAGTGACAAAAATCAGATTCCAGGTGGCAGCATGAGCAAAGCCCTCGTAATCTCAAAGCGAAGAATATGGCTTTAATAAAGAAACAAAACAAAAAAACAATGTGCATCCAAGAAGCAAGAGCAAAAGAGATAAACCACCGTCATAATCATCTTAAAAATGAAAACCAAAAATAAAACCAACAACTGAAGTATAGGCCAACATATAAGCCATAAAGAACTACACACGGGTCGACAGGAAGGTTGGGAAACTTGCAGTTTGGAAGGACATTTAAGAGACAGGAGGAGGCAGGCTCTGTAGAAAGGGTCATATCAGGGGTCGAGACGGCTGCTTCGCTTGACATCAACGGCAGAGAGACGCGTCATGGAGCCCCGTGAGCTACGCCGACTGTTCACGAAAAAACCCAGAGGTTGCGAGATGTCTGCTGATGCATCCCGTTTGTTCGTTCTCAGTATGATCATCACAAACAAACAAAAAAAAGATTCTGGGTTTTATTTTTTTTTAATTTTCGGACCAATTTCCCCAACAACATCACCCGTCGCTGTCTTTTTTTTTTTTTTTTTCTTCTTTTTTTAAACACTTCTTTACCTTAGTCTCTTTGCTTTCTTGCTACTTTTTCACTGACCGAGTGAATATCTATGTGCCTGAATTCTTTGTTCAAAGGAAACTCCCACAAGGCTTTGCTTCAGAGTCTGAAAGTCTGTGGTGGGCAGTGAAGCACATGAGACCAAAAAAAGAAAAAAAAAAAACTTAAAACATCCTTTTCTTCTTTTTTTTCCCCATTTCTTGTTTTAACCCAGCAGGGCGGGAGACCAGATATCTACTGTTATCACTCTCTTTCCTCTTTTTTTCCCTTTTCCAGTCTGTCATTCTTATGGAGGATTGCCTTTAGATCACAAGGTCGTTGTAGCTCACGTATTTCTTCTTTGCTGCTGGACCTAAAAAGGGAGGAGAAAACGAACAGAAGAGATCAGCTTTGGTTCTTGCGGCTGTTACTTCAGATGACGGGTGATGGTGAAATGACAGTTTAATGACAGGTATATGAAATTATCCATAAGTTTTTAAATAAGGCTTGAATTATGAACTCTCATTGCATTTCTTGAGTTGACTGACAGCAGACTCATTTCAAAGAGAATTGCCCCTTCTTCTTTTTTTTTAAATTGGAGTCGTGTGTTTTGTAGGTGTTGAGAGGTCATAACTCAGAGGCAAACAGAAGAAAACACAATGGAAATACTACGATATATATCAGCTTCTGCAAAAATAAGAACCTCAATCTGGAAAAAAGAATATCCCACACACTGTATACTCCACATACATCTATATGTCTATTATACACACAAATCAATGCCAATGATTGGAAGACACTCCTACGGTGGAGTGTCCCACACCTGCGCACACAAGATGGGTGGAGTATTATCTATTTAAAGTGATTGTTGGATTATTTGACATGGGGTGTGACTACTGCACACACTGTATTACTCCACTGATCAGACAGAGCTAACGCCAGGAACACACGGCCTGCGTGTCTACTGTGTCGCTGCTACTGCCAGATCTGTCGTTCTACATAGAGTTTTCAGGGTACTGGAATCTCGAATTTCTTATTCTTATAAATCAATAACATAATCATTCACCTAAACTGCTTTTAAAGTGGCTACAGCCACAGCAACACATCACTCCACTTCTGTCCCAGTGCTCCCGGGTGTTTCTCTATAAACTGGGAGCTCAGAATCTCCTACAGTTAATACAATGACTATAGATAACTACCTCAGACAACCCCATGTCAAATCACCCGAACTACCACTTTAAGATCGTGGATGTAAGAACTTTTTAATATACTTCCGATGAAGATCTACAGAGACCGAAACGGTGGGTGGTCAGTCATTTGTGATGCTGAGAAGTGCAGGATATTCTTTTTTCAAGACTGAAGTGACACTTTCCAACGCACCTGCATCTCAGACATTTGGATGTGCGCATATTTTAATCAGGAAAATAAGAACCTAAAATTAAAGTCTAGTTCAGAGCTCTTTAGTTAAGGACCTTATTTTCATCAAACAAGCACAACAACCAGCACAAAGCAGAAGTTCTCAGTCTCACAGACTGTGTGGGCGTCTCCACCTGTTCTGGTTCATGTAGGAGCAGCAGCACAGAGAGGAGTTTAAGGGCTGGGAGGAGATGAATACAGGTGATTAGTAAATTCACTGTCAGCCAGTAACATTATCGGTCTCATAGCCCCGAGACAGACGAGCCAATCACAGTAAGCCATGACGTCATGAGGACACAGGTTGTTGCTTTTTCTCCTTCGTCTCCCTCAAACAGCAGAATCATGAGTTAAAACAGACTAGTGTGGGCTATTGTTCAGCTCCATGCTGCTGTTCTCAGGTGATTTGAATGAAGGTATAAACAGTGAACCGGTTGTGTTATGGCGCTACAGTCTGATACTGTATGTGAGGGTTTCTGCTTTAACCACATTAAAAGTTCATATTTGATATTGATTTGCATCCATCAACCAGTTGGAGAGAGTTAAATTAAATATTATTATTGTTGTTATTCTGTTATTGCTGCACATTTGCTCTTGTCACTGAAGTGGCAGCAGATTGATGTTGCACCAGAAACAGTTGTGGTTTTAAACGTCTTTTCTCACCACAGAGGTCAATCCACAAAGTAAGTGTTTGTGTTTTTTAAGCATTTTTGACATCTATCACTCACCTGGCTTGTGAGACAGATACACTTGTATTTATCAAATGTATTAATCCACACTGACACTAAGACTTTTTTTTTTGTATGGTGTGCTAAAGGCAGATTGAGTAAGCGGGGAAATAAAATCAGTGACAATGCGTTTCCCTCCTCTTCACTCATCAGGTAGCCCACTTTAATAACATTTTTGTCCTGTCGGTGCCTGATATCACTTGATAGAGCTGTTCTGAGGACAGAGACGGCTGAATAAAGGTCAGAGTCTGTGTGGACTGGACGGTCTGAACGGTTCAGTAGTGCTTATGTGTGGATTCCCAGTAAGACCCTGCTCCGTCTCATTTGAATGAACCTCTCATGGTCAAGGTTTGTGCTGGTCGTTGCGTGGACGTGAAAATAAGGCCCTCAAATGCATCAAATGAGAAGGTAGAAGAGGTGTCATCTGTGGTGTTCCTTTTAGTTATGACCACCTCCCTATCTCCCCCCTGCAGCTCTGCCTCCCTCCTCCCGTCTCTTGGCGACCACTTGGCCTTCAGTGTTCATCCAATGACAAATGGCTTCAAGCCAAAAGCCCATCATCAATCATGCAAGAAAGATAAAAGAGAAAATGGCAGAGTTCGCATATTAAGGCCTGAACGTGTCACTGAACCTCCCTGACTTTGTCATAATGTGTCTCATTCATACAGTAAGTAGTCAGTTATGGTCTGACAGGGCCGACTGTTCAGTATCAATACAGTTAATACAGCGCTACGTGGTATACTACAAAGGGTTTTTCCTTTTTTTTAGCAACAGGCTGAATTTATTGGTCACAGTTGTGTGACGCACATTTACATATATCCACTGAGATGCAGAGCAGCCTCAGGTCTGGATTTCAGTAGATGTTCAGTGTAACGTCTTTTCTTTTAGGATGAACAGGTGAAGGTGCCACTAAAGTTAATGTTGTGTACGTGCAGTAACAGCTGTTATTCCTAAACGACCATCTGACTTTCCTCCGATATGTGTCAACAGATTTTATTTAATCACTAAAACTGCATCATAATTTATAAATAATATTATATATATAAATTTATAATTTATAAAATCGAATTGTCTCCTTTAGATTCTTTCTTCTTTATATTAGAGAGAATTACATTTAACGCTGTACTAACAACTGACCCTGAAAACTGTATGATATGCAATATTTTTCATGATACTGAATTTTTTTTATATTATAAAAATCTCCAATTGCTTTTTATCATTCATGATGACGATGACCTGAACAGATCCTCACAAACACTGAAACGAGTGATTTACGACACGTACAGTTAAGAGAATTTGATAATCGGACTTGAAACAGTCTAACGTCACAGCAAAGACTAAAAGGAAATTAGATAAGAATATGAAAATGTTCTTAAGGCATCTTCCTCTACATGTGGAATATTTGAATACTACAGATACATGACTGTTGGGACAATTTTTGCCAGATTTATGCTCTAATAATATTTGTCAAATAAACTTAAAAAGACTTACAAAGACAGTATTGAGGTAAAAAAAAAAAGAAGTGCCAAATTAATTCATTGACATCTTCAACTCACTTGTGAATTTCCACATTCATTCTCAAGGCAAGATTTCAAGGGGCGGGTTACATATGTGGAAGTGTTAGAAAGGCTAATCCCCAGAGAAATGAATGTAGTAGAAGTATTTCACTTCTGCAGGCACCCAGGGCAACGCTAAGAAAAGGAAAGTACTGCTTGTAAGGATTCTTTTTGAGAGCAGCCATGGCTATATGAGTTTTAAGAGATATAGAGAAGCCTTTGTTGTATAAGGAATAAGCCTTTGCAGAGAGGCAGAGAGGTCTATAAAAGTCAAATCAGAGAGATTTGGCCTTTGAAGAGCTGCTGAAACCAGAAGAACAGCGAGAGATAGAAGTCTTTGTTGTCTGAGAATCAGCTGTAGCAGCGGAGAGGACGGAGAAGGGGAGAGCGTCATAAGTGCAGAGAAGAGATGAAGCCATCTGAAGTGACTGAGGGCTATTATGGTGTCATGAAAGAGAGAGAGAAACGAGGGGGGGGGGCAGCAGGTGAGGAGGAGGCGAGAGAGCGAGATTGAAAAGAGAGAGGATTTAAAAATCGAGTGAGGGGAAAACCAGTAAACCTGAGGCTGAGTGAGCAGACGGGGGAGAAAGAGAGAAATGGAGTGAGAAATGAGGGGGGAGTCGTGCGAATGGATCGTCCCAGGCCAACAGATGGCTCTGCTGGTCTTCGGGGAGTCCTGACTGAGCTGCAGTCTTCCTGCACAGCTCCACTACTGCTCTGCCTTCTCTACCATGAACTCACCCTGAATAGTAAAACAGGGTGGGGTCCAGAGTCCCTGCACTGTTGATAACACTCCAGGAAGCCTCCCCCCAATGTGTATTAACAAAAGGGATTGATTTATGAGCTGTGACTATCAAGATCGTAGAGGCTGCAGAGACTTTTTCCTGCTGGGGCCTCATTATGTCTGTGTGGGGCTCCAGAATTTAAATATACGAATAAACAAGTAGTTGGCATTTGAATGTCAATTTCAAGTAGCACTCTGAAGCAAGGTTTTCATCTGAAATTAGTGCAAATTTTAACTGAACTTCCAGAAAATCGTCAAATGAACAGAATATCCAAAACTTTTTTTCCACCAATTTTACTCAGGTTTTGTATGCACAAATCGAAAGTGCACATAAAAGCATGAAAAAGAAGTCAGGCATATTCAGAAAGAGACAAGAGTCTACTTTGTAAAATTTGGCAAAATGACTTGAGAAGGGTGAACTGCACTGACTCAGAAACTGCCAACAAAGAGCTAAAACTTTGCTATTTCGGCCAGGATGATGGCTAACGTTGCTGACAGCAGGCTAACCGTTGTATCATAGGGTTGGGCGTTCTCTTTTTAGACGAATTGTACAGATCACATCATTAAAATGTGTTTATTTATATATTTAATTAAAAGAGTTCAGTCACTGTTAACCAGCCCATTGTTAACAGCTAAACAGCTAGCCGCCAAGAACAAGGACTGCAGCTGGCGACTGCAGTTCTTGTTCTGCTCTGCAGCTTTCGCAAGCTTGGCGTAGCAGAACATCTAGCTACCAGTTCTCCACCAGAACAAGATCCACCGTCACAGGCTGCAGTCCAAGACGGTGGAGTCACAGTCCATCTGCAGGACGAGAGACATGTCTGCAGTGCAGGGAAACATGAAGCGGGACGAGCCGGGGCTAGCTAGCAACTGAGCTTTCAAATCAAAACACTTATATTTAGCACCTCATGAATAAATAACAGAGCTGCCAGAACAAATTCTCCATATGAACTAAGCAAAAAGCGTGATTGGTTTTGCGAATGGCGAATGGCAAGAAGTGAGTGAAAGATATACATCTCACATCCTCCAGTCAGGATTTACTTATACATAATAAAGTCACAATAAAACCAGATCGTAAACAGGACGCAGATCATGATTCAGGTCGTGGATTGTGATCAGAGCTTCTGGTTCCTCTTGATGAGGAGCTGAACAACAGTTTATTTAAGTAAAGACGTCACGTGTGACGTGAGCATCGTGCAATCACTCAGGTGAAACCAGTGCTCCGGAGGCTGACTGAGGAGGACTGGGGAGAAATCTAATCTCTTAGATTAGACTAATCTCTGGGTGCAGCCTTGCCGTAGCACAGCTGATCAAAGATCCACAGATGAATATCTCAACAGGTTTGTTCTTTCTCTCTCTGTCTCTTTCTTGTGATATCGCTCACAAGTGTTGAATAAGCGGTTTTCCAGCCTGCCACATGCACAGTTTATGTCCCGATGAGCGCAGGAGCCGTGCAGCAAAAATCTGAGGTCTTGGGGGGTCAAACGTTCTGTTAAAGTGCCACCCACTATAGCATGCACACCGCACCAGAGAAAGACTGTAAATCTGCCACTCAAATAGTCGTATTATGCTCTCCTCTCCCTCCTCATGTAAAAGTTATAAGTCAATTGAAAGATGGCGATAAAGAGCTGTAGAAGTATACTTAACATTCCCTCCACACACTCCCTCCTCTCTCCCACTCGAATGCATTCCCCCTCATCTCTCTCTCTCTCTCTCTCTCTAGACGAGCTCTCTCCCCCTCTCCTCAAACCTCCACAAGAAAATGGATCAAGGTCAGGACAGCAAAGCAGGAGAAGATTAATTTGCTCTTACCTCTGATAAATTATGAAATTAGCCTGTCAGGGGGAGAAAAACATGATTTGGTGAGTTGTCCCTGAGAGCCCCAAAGAGAAACCCACAGCAAGGTGTGGGTAGTAGTTTGATCACATTGCCATGTAATTTGTGAATTAATTCATTAATTTGAGAACTGTGGTGTATGTATATATATATATATATATATACACATATCACAGTTCTGGTGGTTTCCTGTGGAGCAACAACACAAGCAAATGATGTCTCTGCATGCTTGTTATGCTCTTGCTGAAATGCAGGGTCTTTGTCATGGATGTTCAGCACTAAAATGAGTTGAGCATCGCAGAGCAAAATACGAGGTTCATGGAGACAAAGAGTAAATGGAAATTGGATAGAAGTAAATTTCTATCCCATATGTACCATGGGTAAAAATTCCATATGATGCTGTTTTTCAAATTCTAAAAAGCAAAAATGGTTCAAACTCAAATCAACCTGCAGGACATGGACATCACCTTGTCCTTTGCTGAATGAATTTACAAGGTTTTCACAAATCCTCACTGACCATAAACAATACAGAGAAGCGTTACCTGTAGAGTGTGACCATGGGCTCTGCTGACAGCTCACATACTGTTTTTATACAATTTATTTATTGATATTTATTTATCAATTTAGTTATTTTAACTCACTAAATTCTATTTGTACTGAGATTAACATCAATGATGGCTTCCTGCATTAATCCAACTACAGATGACAAGCTCTTCATTTATTTTACCATGGCCACAGAAAATTCTGGATTCTGATTGGTTGTTCAATGTGAGAATTCAAGAAAGTTAAGTGATAAATTAAGTGTAATTTGGCCGATTTGTTAATTAAACAAGTTTCCTAATGGCAGCATTATATTTCTAGCACAACGTGTTTGCTGTTGCAGATGAGCTTAGAAACATTATTTGTACAAGACAGGGTTGTAATAATTTTAAAAGCAACTTATTCAAATACACATCAAAAGCAGCTGTGGTCATGCATGAATAAAATAAACATGGAAAGTAGTTCTTTTTTCTTTTAAAGGACTTGTTTGACTTTTAGTGAAATTCTCTTCTCTTTCTCTCAGAGTCAGATTTTCAGATTGACACCACTCCCACATCTCTAGAGTAATTATGAAGCTACAGCCAGCAGCTGCTTAGTTTAGCTTAGCATAAAGATTGGAAACGGGGGACACATCTAGCCTAGCTCTGTCTACAGGAAACAAAATATTAACAATAACATGTTTTTTAAGGCTGTACAAAAACTGGAGTGTAAATACAACAATTTTCTGCTTTGTAGTTGGTTATGTGAGCGACTTTTTCTTGCCATTGTATTTACTGTACGGACATGATGAATATGAACACCTGACTCTCAGAGAGAAGGAGAGGAAGAGAAACAACATGGTGGTATGTGGACTGTGTTAAAAGAAATATCACCTGGATTCAATGGGTCACCTTCCACCACCAAGACAGAGAAGTGTCACATTTATTATGATGCTTATTAGCAACCGTAACTTGTAATAGTTGCTTGAATCAGCTGCAACATGTTTCTGTGACAAGGTGTTTTCATTGTCTCAGTGGAGGAAACTGGCACAGCATCAAGCCTCATCCTTCAGTCAGTGACATTAAATCCAGTCAGTTCAGGAGGTGAAGTACATGCATGGTTGGATGAGTAAAATAATAACATGCTTTATTACATTTCAATTGATTTTAGGTTTGAGTTTTACACTTCATTTAATACAATTTATGCGTTTGCAGCAGGAACAGTGAGGAGTTAATATACACCGTTTTACACGGAGTACTTACTGTTGGGGTCCACGTTCTCACAAAGCTCCGTCTTGGCCTCTCCGTTGGGCCGGTCGCTGGCCTTGTGGGAGAGTCGGGATGACATGGTGGCAGCTGTGACGACGGCTTTGAAGGAACGTTTCCTCTTCTGCACATTGAGCTCCGGGTGGAAGATGATGACGTAGACTTTGGGCATGTAGAGCATCCCGAGGGCCACAGACGCACTCAGGTTCATGGAGATGGTCAGCGTGGTCGTCTGGATGTACAGCTGGAAGGGAAGGGGATAAATGGGAGTTAGACAAAAAGGCAGAGGGGGAGTTAAGGTGCTTATACAGCTCGTCTTTTAGTTCTGGTCTGGCTCACGTTCACACTGACTTTTTATGAACCAGCCAAGAGGAGTTAACATGAAATCACATGACTGACAGGTAAGGCCACTATCCTCTCTGCATTAAGAGTTTATTTTTAAAGGCCCCATATAGTATAAAAGTAGATATCCATGTGTTTTTTGATTATAGATCAGGTCTAGGTTCTATATTAATACTGTGAAAGTATCAAAGCGCTCAGTCCACAGAGAAACACACACAGCCTGTATTCAGAAACTGATCCTTAAAACAAGTCGTCAGGAGTTCTGTAACTTTGTGATGTCACAACAAAGCAGTCTCCGTTCTCAGCCACACCCCAAGCCTCGCCCACCTGGACCCACCATCTAACCTCACAGGATTTGGTTTCTTTGAGTGTTTTCCCTGATCACTCAGAAAACAGTCAGCCAATCAGAGGTTAGAGGCTCAGAGCCTCCTCTCTTCTGATTGGCTCATCGACCCGTTGTTACTAGAGCTCCAGAGAGAAGCCTGAGAGAGGAGATATGAAACTACACTGAGATGGTTTTTGGTTCTAAATATATCAAAAGGTAAAATAAAACACAGGGAAAGTATAAGATATGGGACCTTCAACGAACTCGGTGCATTTGTTGGCTATGTGTAGCTGAATAAAAGTGCCCGACTGACTGAGGAAACACGACCTATAATAAGCCTGGAAAGAGATTTGTTAGCGAACCAAACTCTTGACATGTTTCATGAGCTGGTGAAGGATGTTTTTTATTATCCAGTGTGTTCTCGACCCTCACCTACAGGAGAGAGCAGCAGCAGACAGCTGGGCCACAGCGTAAATGTTTTATGCACTGTGTATATTGCACTTGCGTCCGGAGCCGCGGCCCTCTGAACCCAATAGAGGGCTAATATCGGGCCGGGATGAATGCATAAAGAGGCCCGGCCGCGCTGTAATGGGCTTCCCAGAGTGGCTTTCACAGAGTTCAGCCCCACTGTCTTTATGTGTTATGGTCCTGCTGTCACAGTCTGATGTATACCATTTACAGAGAGAAGTCACAGGCTGAGTCACAGGGGGCTGAGGGGGGAGGAGGAGAAGAGGAAGGGATGAGAGAGACAGGAAGGAAAGAAAAGAGGATGGTGGGGAAATAGGAAAGCAGCAGGAGGGTATTTACACTGGAGTAAACCAGCCGAAATGATCAGATGTTTTCTCTCCCGATATCTGTACATGTTTTGGTTAATGTGTTAAATTAAGAGGAAACACTAATCTGCTGTCCCTGTTACAAACAACTAACACACAACCCCTCCCGAGAGAAAGCTACACCAGCGGGAGTAAAAAAAAAAAGAAGCTAAATACACAATTATATTTTACAAGTGTGCAACATTTTCCAACAGTGGACCAAAAGGAAAGAGGGAGGTGAACATCTCACACTCTGCTCAGATTTATACGGTCTCAAGTATTTTAATAAAGCACCAGTGTCGCATCTTGTTCTTTAGTTTTCTTTCAATTATTAGTTAATTACTGTTTGGACTTTGTTCAAGGGACGTGTTCTTCATCTTTCTATCAGTCACTACGTTTGCATTTACTCAAGTAACCAGGTGACAGGTGATTGGAGGACTCGTTGGCATGCACTGTAGTAACCTGGTTACTGTAAACGTGCAGTAATCAGATCTTATTTTGGATGGCTTCTTATTTTTAACATTAGTGAAGACGGACTCTTATTTTGGTGTGTGTCTGCGTCGGAGGGTGCTGGTGGTGCAGTGAGAGGACGGACACACCAGATCTAGTTCCTCTTGTTATATTCCAAGTGAATCGTTCTCTCTCTTTCCAGGACCATTACTCATCTGCCCGCCTGCCTGTCTGTCTGTCTGTCTGTCTGTCTGTCTGTCTGTCTGTCTGTCTGTCTGTCTGTCTGCTGACTGGCTCCCCAATCCACGACCACCTGCTTCCTCCAGCCTGCCATGTTATTCTCGCTCATTCATCTACCCATGTCCAGCCGGTCCAGTAACCTCTCCACTTATTCCACCTCCATTCCCTGCTACCCTTCCAATAAAACCTCTTCATTCCTCTACTCCAAACTCTGTGTCTGTGCCATCAGGTCCACACTGCAGTTCATGTCTCTGTTAACAACTCTATCTCCTCCTGTGGACACACATCAGTGGAGGCTGCTGTATAAACAGTTACAATATAGTAAAAGACAGCTGGAATAATATAAAGTAGGTCTGTGTCTTCAGCGTAGTCTGTTATAAACCAGTATGTGATGGCTTATAGTCATGTGTTTTCTGAAGCTGCAGTGCATTGACTTCTCAGGGCCACTGTAATAATTAATATATAAACTAATTAAATGTTTGAATATTGATTATAAAAGCTAAATGGGGGGTAAAGTGTTCTACGAAAAACATGAACTATTCTTGATAACCACAACTTCACTGTAATTGCTAAGTGATTAGGGAAAGCCACGCCCCCTGCCAAATAGGAAGCAACAGATTTCTGGCTGATTAATGAAATAAAAACAAACTAATATCTCAGTCTGAATATCAGGCGGAGTTATTATTTTTGTTCATAATTAAGATGTCTGTGTGATGCACGCACGCACACATGCGCACACACACACACACACACACACACACACACACACACACACACACACACACACACACACACACACACACACACACACACACACACACACAAGCTTGTGACTCCGTCTGATATAAACCAGGGAGATAAGCATGTGATAAGACAGCAGCTCTCTGATAAGATGACATGTCAGATAAGAAGCAGCAGACGTATCCAGAGGTCTGTTACTGAAGATTAATCTGATCACATCTGATCCTTTTTCCGTTTGTGCTGTGAGTCCGCCCCCGGCTGTGTGTCTCTGCATTTGTTTTGTATGTGTGTGCATGTTTTAAGGCACGTCGGTTCAAAGTTTTGAGTGAGGCCATTTTTAAGAAAGCAAGAAAAGAGGAAAAAGTGGAGAATCCTGATGAAGACGGAGACTCTAACCGGGCGGGGAGGAAGAGATCTGACGCAGCACGACTAATGATCAGAGGGGAAACACGGACGTGATCTTAGTGTTTTTTTGTTACTGGACAATAAAGGCGATGTGAGATTGTAGATTAAACTTGGAGCCGGACCACAGGCGAGGTTAAGTGGATAATTTATCTTCTTAAATTGAAAAACAGTTTCCTTTGAGCTACTCAGATCCTACATTTATCAAGAAACACAGAGCAAGGCTACAGGTCTGCAGTTCTTATCTACAGAGGCTGTGAAATATTAAATATCATGTTCTCCTTTGTTAAAGAGACTAAAAACCAACTAAAAACATTCCCAGTGGTGGAAACATTTACTCCAGTGGTACGTTTTACTTCTACTCCACTACATTTCAGGGATTTTGTTTTAATAAAGCAGTAAACAATAAAAAATCAAACAGATAAATCATTAACATTAACATCATCATTAAAACTCTATTGCACTTTTGATACAGAGACACTGATGAATATATTTAATTAACTCACTGATAACAAATTCAGAAAAAGAATTCATACAGATCTGAGAAATGTGAATCTGTTTTGTTGAATGTTTTTTAAATTAGTTTCAAAACGTTAATATATTTCAATGGTAATAATTTGAGCCTGAGGTTTTTAAAGTTACACGTTCTCAGATTGTTAAATGATTCAGTGAACAATCATCAGTAATAATGATCCAATAATCAAACATATTCATAACACATGGGCAGGTTTCCTGCAGAATAAGGACTTTAACGTTACTTTAATGCAGGACTTTTACTTGTAACAAAGTATTTGACATTACTACTTGTAAAGGTTGTGAGCTCTTCCACCTCCACTGAACATTTCACACCTGAAGCACCTGCCCTGTTCTTTCCCTCAGTCTTATCAGTTCAATCCACAAGTTCTGTGGATCTGTGACTAAATGTCCATCGTTTTTTTTTATGAACAGATCACCTCATATCTGTGGATGTCTGGAAAGAGACAACTTGATTTTCAAGTTCCTTTGGGCTGTGAGACAAAGTCCAGCACTAATTAAAGATCTACTTACATTTTCCCATTTTGCAAAAGGGAGATAAGGATATTGCTGACTAAACTGACGCTACTTCTTATCTTATAATAAACTTAAACACTTAGCGGACGTCCACATTAAGGTGGTCAAATTGAACACACTTCCTCCTCTCAGACTAAAACTGGATGGAGCTGAAAATGGAGCTTTTTCCAAAACCCTCTCCAGAGTGTGTAGATGTTGAACTGCAGCTTTTTTCACACATTTTCAAAAAAAAAAAAGCAAAAAAAAAAAAAAAAAGCTCAATGTTCATGTAGTTTAAAAAACAGATCTTTTTAAATTCATTCCTGTATTAAAACACAGACAAACAGAACAATGACCTGATGAAAACAAAGCTCAGCAGTGTTTGATTCAGCGTCACACCTCAGAGGAACGTCCACGAGCCCGCAGACATCTCTGATGTGATTTCAAAGAGGCTGAAGACAGGTTCGTTTGTTAACTGTTGATAAAGGCAGAGTTTGTTCAGACCTCACATCGTCAAAGGCTTTCATATCTTTTCTCATCATCTGTGTTTGTAGAGTTTGTGTGTCAAATGGTCCCAGCGGGGAGCCAGGGCGTGGGTGTAAATAAAGTCCATTAATTAGACTTCCCTGGGATCTCTAAACAGGGGGGGGGGGGCTCATTATGACTTTGCTCTGAAAGATATGAGTCAGTGTTGAAGGAGAAAACGCTGGCACTCAATTGGTCTGCTGCATGCTGGGAAAGTGCGCAAAAGTTGTTGTTTATAATCAGCAATAGTTACACACAGATTTTTCTTTTTAGAGCAAACAAACTTCTGTTCAGTGAAGCAGCTTTGGGCTAAAATAAATCCTTTTCTGTTTTCGTCACATTCATATCGGATGAATCTCCTCGCAGGAGGACAGCGTG